CTACAGATACTAAGATTCCGTGCTAGATAGAAGCGCTATGCTTTATGACAGGGAGCCAAAGTCAGATATAAAACCAAATATAAGACGTTTTACCAACAGCATTAGCTGTTACTATGGGAATAGATGAGAAGAACCTTGAGTAGCTCGGGCCTTGTTAAATTTCATTTGGAGCTGCTGTTAATTTGGCTACATTACATATTGCAAACAAGGATCATAATATTTGGATAGAACTTTCCATCACCAAAACGCAAGAAAATTAAACCGCATATAACGTTGAATAGTCTCCTCAACTTGTCTGGACAAGCAGAGCACAGAGGAGTTAAATTACTGTTCCCAGACCCCTAAAAGTGGGGGTCCCAGTCAGATCTCTGGTTATATAACTCATCAGGTTTAATGCAGTCCTCATGGGGACTTACTTGTTTCATTTGGAGCCAGATCAAGTAAAGAAATAAAGTTTTCAGAGTTCTGTCAAGACATAAAATAGTTTTCCCATTATGGTTTGTGTATTTTCTTCTCATTTTTTAGACATTCTTGGATGACACTGACTATTCCATTAGAAACATCAAGCTAACAAGACTGAGGGTTTTGACCCAAATTATATAAAAACCCTACAAGAGTTTTCTTGTGCCCAGAAGTTGTACTTTGGCTGCGTAACTGATTCTTGTACTATGCTTCTAAGCCAATAATGGTTAGCACGGTTCAACATAAATTCAAAGCGTGTTTAAGATATGTTCTTGGAGAAGTTTCTTTCAATTCAAGGCTAACCTAATACAAAGGAAACCTCTGTGTATGGCATTTCAGAAACAAAACCGCTGACGGACTGAAAAAGGTGACACCCTTCAGATGACAAATAGCATGACAGTTACAACTGCATTCAATTTTTGAAAGCATCATTCTAAAGTTTTTAATGGATGGGCTTCAAATCCTCTGGAACCCTTAAAATTAGATGGTATTATGAATGCAATGGGGAGTTTAATCAGATCAGCTCTAAACGAGACAACATATAATTCTAGTTTTAATGCCTACAAAGAGTTTAAATCAGCAGAGTGCAACCGGCCCTCTGCACCCCTTCCCCGCCCTGGGTTTGTTTGTGCATATCGGAATCAGAGGTCCTGGGTTCACTCTTCTCAAATTCTACCATAACCAGGTCCCCCGGGAAGATATTGTCTATTAAAATGTTGTCTCTCCCTTGCCCCTTTAACTTTCTCCCTCCCTGCTTTCTGTCTGGTCTTCATTCCCATTTTCCCTTTCTTAAATTCATATTTATTTCTTGCAAACCACCTAAGCACCAAGCATGGTCCAAAGTTCTTGGGATCCAGCTGTGATCCAGCTCAGGCTTTGGAGCAGCAAGTCATGCCCCCTCCCTTGAGCTTTCTTTTACAAATGCCAGGGAGGCCCAGAGCCCGGCATCCCTCGCATCCCTTGCGCTGCGTCTAAGTGAATTTGTTTACCAGGGTTGTTTCTCTCGATAGCAGCAGTAGCTGTGTCATGGCAGGATCTCCAGGTGACTGGATGAGACAGGGTGTGTGTGTGTGTGTGTGTGTGTGTGTGTGTGTGTGTGTGTGTGTGTGTGTGTGTCTGTGTAGGAGTGTCCAATTCATAGTCTCTGCTGAGGACTTCCGTGTGTGTCATTTGGGGATCCTCTTTCTCATTCACAAGTGCCTCAGACAGTGTCTGGCACAAGGCAGGCACCCCCAAAACAGCTGCAGAGTGACGGTGGGCCAAGTCGGCAGCCTTCCCAAATGACCTGCTTCTTTCTGTTGTAGTGATTTTTGCATTCTAAGTGCATTCTAAGTGCCTTAGCATACATATCTTTGGATGAAAGATGTTTCCTGTCTGCTGTCTCCTTATTGAAGGTCTACTCTGATTTTTTCCTTACCTTACCTCCTAAATCATCATCACCATCATCATCATCATCCACTAATGAAAACTGTTTCTTCCTAGAGGCATTTGCATCTGAACAGGCAGGGGGGTTTTAAGAGTAAGGCTTTTTCAAAAACAATGGCCAGGAAGGAGGTGGTACCGGTTCTGGCCCGGGATTCCTAACTCCTGGGAGCTTCCTGGAGTCTCACATCAGTTTCTGGGCTCCATTGCACAGCGTACAGTGCAACACAGAAACCCACATGCAATTCCCGATCTTGCAGCTAGTGGGGTTTCCGCTGAGAATATTTGTATTCCTGATCCTTGCGGTCTGATTACAACGGCAGGTTTGGTCTCTCTGTAACTTTGATTATCCTTTCCTTCGTCGTCGTCTGTAATCAAGCCCAGATCATTCCAGATGCGTGACAGACCGGGCAGAAGGTGAGGAATGTGAGTGTGTGCAAGGAAGAACTCTGCTACCCAGTCCTTGGGGCTCCTTTTAACAACTCTCTGGAAAACAGTGAGTTTCCTTTCTGGTACCTCAGTCAGCAGGCTGCTCGCTCCTCTCCTGTGGCCAGATGCCGCACTATACGCCATTGTTAAATCCTCATAGTGAAACTTAAAAGATGTTCTCTTGCGAGACAACAGGTGGCCACTGCAACCTCCGGCTCTGATTGGTGGAAAGGCCACAGGCGCCCAGTGGCCCAGAGAAAGGGCCTCCACTTCTGCGTTTCAAGAGCCTGCTCAATGGGGTGTTGTCCTGATAATATCTCAGCTCACTGCCAATTTGTGCAACCCGCTGGGCCATTAGGGAGCGCCGCTGGGTTGTCAGCGTTAAATGGAGACTCGGGAGAGGAGACCAAAGCTTTTTCGGGAGGGGCAGTGGATCAGTGTCAACCTAGGGACAATGTGCGTAGTTGTTCCTTTCCTGAATACACACTGCTCTCTCCTGCCGTCTCCAAACACACGTTTCTGCTAAGAGGAGAGCAAATACGCAAACTTTCACCTACTTGAAGTTTATTTTTCCTGCTTGGTTCCTGAAATAATGTTGGAAGAAGGCACACCCACAGGTGTCACCAAGCCCAAGTGCCCACTTTGGAGAACTGAAGAAATGAAAAGAAACCCAGGCGATGCCTGTGTGAAAAAGCTCAGGCCCCGGACCAGCAAAGTGTGATCAGGGACGAAAGCGTTTGTGTCTGCTAAAAATTTTAAAAAATTTCCCCTTCCAGTTCAAGTAGCGCCTAGATCACCAAACTGGGGAGGAGGCTGTTGCGGGGGACACTTTCTCTTAACCCCTTTAGTTCTTCTGGCTTGTCCAATAATTCAAACAACATACAGCAGAATAACAGGAGGAAATCAAATTTTAATACATGCACAAAGGGAATTCATACAAGCACGAACATTCCAGAGACACTGGGCAAAATGGGGTATTATATGTATGTCATTTTGGACCAAGGAAGGGGAGGTAGGGAAACATTTGGTAAATTCCTACAGGGTCACCCAGAAACAATGTGACATAGGAACAGGTTTTTCGCTGGGATCTTCCCTGTCTGACCCACTTAATTCATATGTGCTAAGGTGATAGTATGCTAAGGTTCCCTTCCTGAAGCATTCTCCGCTCCCCCCCCCACCCCCCATCTGAATTTCTTCAGGCAGGTGAGAGTGAGGAAAAAACTCTTTCTGAGTTTGTGGGGCTTTAATTGTTTTCAGCTCAAAATAATCTGCACATTCAGGGGAGACTGGCTCAGACACCAACAGGGCCACCTCAAAGCCTCTTCCTAACGTCCTCTGCTGGTATGTAAGTCCCTTCCTTCGCCAAGGCTGAGGGCCAAACTCTCAAATTAACCCGAGGCAATAAATCCGAGGGGAGGGGGACGATGTCGCTTAAAGAAACAGACAAGAAATCAAGAGGGGTGGGTGAGTGCCGTGTGAGGAAGCTAATCACCCAGAACCTTTTAGGAAAACGGGGACATTTTCTCTGAGAGCCGTGCACCATCCGCCTAGATCCAGTTACTCAAATGCCTTTTTCGAATACAAACAAGAGCAAAGAAAACACGAAAGGGGGACGACACGAGGCTTAACCCGGGGAGCCTCACGTCTGCCTACCCGTGAAAGGTCAGGCCCCAGCACCCCTTCTGGAAAACACTACAGGTGTACACATGGGGTCCCGGCTGCCGGGGGACGCGCGCGCAGGCTGGCTGCTAGGTTCGGGGCCTCCAAACGCGGGACATTCGTGGGGTTGGGCGGGGAGCGGGGTCGAGGGGGACGGAGGCGGGCACCCACGAGGAAAGGGCGCCGATGCAAAGCGCTGGGACGGGAGCGGACGGCGTGCGGGTCTGGGCGGCAGGCGCCGGGGGCCGGGAGCAGCGGCCGAGGGACGCAGTCCGAGGCGGCGGGGACAAAGAGGACCGGAGAGGGAAGGGGGGCGAGGTGGGAAGCAGAGGGGCCCGGGAGAGAGGGCGGCCCAGGCGCGGGAGACGGGGACGGCGCGGGCGGCGGGACGAGCGGG